GGAACGTCCTTGGCTGCAGCTAAGAGGACGCCTCCTTTTAGCTGCGGCTTCGGTTCTTTGAGCTGCTCCTGGAATCGAAGAAGTCCTCTGATTCCAGGACCAACTCAAGGAACGTCCTTGGCCGCGGCTAAGAGGACGTCTCCTTTTAGCTGCGGCCTCAGTTCTTTGAGCTGGTCCTGGAATCCTCCGAACCCAGGATCGGCCCAAGGAAAGCTTTCCTTGGACCGACCCTAGGGAGGGAGGCGTCCTCCGATCCCAGGAGCAGCCCATTGAACAACCGAGGCCATGGCTGAAAGGAGGCCTCCTTTTAGCTGCGGCCTCGGCCATTCCTTAGGCTGGTCCTGGGAGCGGAGGTACCGGTATATTCACCTTATAAGATGCACCAACTTCCCCACCCCCATTTTGGGGAAGAAAAAGTGCGTCTTATATGGCGAAAAATACGGTATTTCTTGATTTAAGGCATTTCTTTAGAGTTGTTAGCCCACCAACACCCCTGAACCTAAAAACATTTAAAATATTAGATAAATGACTGAAAACAATTAAAAATTTAAATTGCTCTTGTGAAAATCAAATATGCTCTTATAATGTGTTTCTGTGTGCTCTTCATTTGTACCAGCTATTATAAAACCATGTCAACATTGAACTTTACTTGTACATAGACAACACAGCAAGGATAATGAAACACTAACTTAAAAAGCAATCCAGAGATGTTTAGTTTATTGGGTAATAATCCCAATGTTACTAGATCCCAGATTTAATGAGAAAAACCTTGGACATAACAGTATGGAAGAGGTTTAGGGAAAATACATGGTTGAAGAACAAAGTAGTGTTTGAGTCTTTTGGTGAGGGATCCACTTTTTTTCTGAGCTAAGTTTAAACTGACTCCATGACATAGTCACAACGAGGCATTGCATTTCCTGTGGTTTGCTTTCTGAATAAGATCTAAAAGAAGAGTTGGCCCTACTGCAGACACTATTGGTTGGGAAAAGAAAAAAACATTCTGGCAGAAGCACAGGGATATAGAAAGGAAGCTGGGGCTAGCACTCCAGCTCATCTTATTTTGCCAGGCCATTCCATGTTGCCTTTCACTACTGTCCTGTATAAGTGGTTGTGTTTGCTCTGTTTTTCCTGACAACAAAACTCTTACACAATAGCCAGATCACCAGATGTCATAACCACAGAGGAGGACAACGCACTGCAAAATGTACAGCATTCAAGAAAAAATGTAGGATATTACAAAACAAAAGCTAAAAACACTAATATAAATATAAATTCATTTCATATGGTTTATTTACAGCTATATTACATACACTGTAGTTTATTATGTACTCAGTCATATTTTTCTGATGAATTTGTAAAAAATGCCTTGTTGGCTTGGAATATATTTATTGAACTTTGAGCTTAAAGCTGTACTTTATTAGTAAGAAATCCTTCACTGAATCTACATTTAAAATATTCCTTCCATTTGTCCATTGTGTTGAAATTAAGGGGAAAAAACCTTTCAATATTTGCATTGTGTCCTCAAGCAGCCCAATGTCTAACATGTTTGCTGTCATTTTCCCCTTAAAAAACCAACACACCCTGAGCTCCAGGGCCAAATCTTGTCTGCTGTTACTCCTAAAAAGAAGAACTTTAGAAGGATACATCCTATCTCCCTATTTACAACAAGGACAGGTATATGAATTTCCTGAATTTCTAGGGAATTGCATTCTTCTACATAAGCAAACAGAGCAGAACTCCCCAGCTACTTCTGTCTCGGCACTTTCATTTTATCTCATTGCTGAACAGAAGAGGTAGACTACAGAGGGAATAGTAACAGTCTCTACGTACTTTCCCAGTCAGGGAAACCCCAATGCCATATTTTGGCTGCCAGAACCTTAGCACTATCTGCTTTAAGGTCCAACAGCCAAAGAAAAGCCCTTTTCGCTTTGACAAAGAGCTGTTGCAGACCGGCCTAAAGGGCCAGCCTAGGCCGCATGCTGGCCTCCCTGACTCCACTCCAACTCCGTCCTGACACCGCTGCGCCAAAAGGGTGCAAAACAGCCACCACCGCTTTTGGGGGTGGCAAAAAGGAGGATTGGGGCTGCGGTGTGTAGCATGGAAATTCATATACCATGGCCCTGATCCACCACTCCCAGGGGAGGCTTTGTGCTGCCCCTTTAGGCCAGTCTGCATCGGCCCTAAGGTAGTACAGTGGACCCTCCACATTCCCTACACAAGACCCTCATGAAATGCACAGGACCCTCATGAAAGTGGAAAAACCACAAATAAAAAACCACTTTTTTTGCCTGAAAGAACACCTCTCTAGGAATCTCTAGGTCTAGAGAAGTGTTCTCTCTAGGAATTTCTAGGTCCTCCAGTGTGATTTTTGACAGATGTTGACAACAGAGTCACACTGGACAACCTAGAGATTCCTACAGAGAACATATTAATGAAATCCATGAATAGTAAAATCTACAAAAGTCAAACCCCAAATGTGGAGGGCTAACTGTAGTAGTGTTTTCAGTTGTTTATTTAAGAGAGAAACAAAAGGGATAAGGCTAATGGGAGCCGAAGTGCCAAAACATCTGAATGGCAGCACATTTCCCCAGCCCTGGGGTAGAGATTTTCTTTTCCCTCTATTTTTACAGAAAGCTGGGAGACTTCAAAGTTAGAGTGTTATGATTCCATTTTAACTATCATGACAATATCCTATGAGATCCTGGGATTTGCAGTTTAAAGGAGACATTTGGAACTCCCAGCCAGAGAGATGTAGTGCCTCACTAAGGGCCTTTGCAGTCTGTTGGAAATAGTGCAAATTGAGTCCAATTTAAGGGTTAGGGTTACTGCTAGGGAATCATGGGAATTGTTTTTTTTTCCTGAGACATTGAGCCTTCTCTGTCAGAGAGCTCTGGTGCCACAATAAAATACAGTTCCCATGATTCCCTAACTCTAACCCTTAAAGTGGACTCAATTTGCACTATTTCTAGCAGTCTGCAAAGACCCTAAATTATAGACCCCAGAATTCCACAGGATACAGCCATGGCAATTAAAGAGAGAGCATCATGCCAAAATTGTGTAGTTTAGAAGGGCCCCAGACTAGCTTCTGCATTCTTTTGGCATGGGGCTGAAGTTTCCTTAGCCACTACCTTAAACTGGTCATGTTGATGAGGAACTGCCAAACATGAGAAGATGATTTGTGATCACTTTCACACATCAAAAAGTGGGTACTATTAGCACATGAAGCTTTATTTCAATATATATAAACTATACCAGTACAAACCCCCAAATTCTTGGCTCATTGTATTGATTTTTGCATCAAGTGAAAAACATAGAACTATGTTTACTTGCATAGAACTATGGCAAATACTGGACTCTCCCCACTTCAAGAATGACAAAAATACTATATTCTCTTTCCAAATTAGCACTTAAGATGTAATTTTTTTTACATACATACATAAGCAGTCAACAAGCAATTATACATCCTCCTTCCACCAGTAGAGTTTCAATGTCTGTCAGTTCAAAGGGTCATCCAGATGAAAAATTAGAGTTAATTCAGAATTACCAATCTTTGTCAATATGACAGCATATTTCTGAAGTGCGACAGTGAGGACAGAACAAATTGTGCCAATTAATACCATACACCATCTGTTTCTCATAATCCCATTTCTGAAAAGAACTGCTTCATCAAATCCTCCTGACGTTTAGAAAAGGACAGGAAAGAAAAAAAAATAAACAAGTGAAAAAGAGCTCAGAAAGGTTACTTTGGGGGATTACAACTCCCCTAATCCACCTGCCAACATGGATATTAGGATTCTAGAAGCTGCAGTCCAAAACCAAAATTCATTCCTTAGTCCTAGTTGCAGCAGACTCATTGAATAGACAGAATGTATATAAATGTACTACCATAAGTGTTGATTTACGA